AACGGAGGAAACTAGAGGCAAAAAACGAAATCGCCGCGTTTGCGTGCGTCTGTGCGCGCTTGCGCGCGCGTGCTCCGAGCCTCAGAACTACCCTGACTGACATGTTTGCAGGGGGCAGAGCAAGGCTGGCACCAACGAAGACCTTTGCTCGCGCCTGCGATGTAAATCCAGAACTTGAATTGACGCGCCCGCACTGTTTCGGTCGCTAGGCGCTCTTCTCGTTGGACTTTCAAAACATGCTTCACATCTAGAGGAAGTCGTACCAACCCGACTTCGTCTCGCTTGGCTTCCATTTTCCCACTCGCTCGATTCTCACTCGAACTCAATTGACCTCCCTTAAGTGCGTACCACCCAGTTGAAGGACCCTCGGGTGCATCCATTGAGAGACTCTGGGACAGCTCTGCCATGAGGCGTGTAACACATGTTTCCTAAACAGGGCTTGCGCGACCTCTCTTACGCACCCGTTGATACCAGACTGCTAAAGGTTACTGCTTGTCGCATGGTTGTGATTGGTTGTGCTTTTCGTCTTCTTCGTTGCCCTGTTGTTTTTTTCCTGTTCTTGGCGCCGCTGCCTCTTTCCTCCTGGTCTTTTGTTCGCGCTCGTCGGGCGCTTCTTGGTGTTCCAGCAGGATGGCTTCCTCGCCCTGTTGTTTGCCTTTGTCCTCCTCTTCTTCTTCCCACTGGCACTCCTTGTTCGCCTCGCAGTTTGGCCTGTTGTCTGCTTCCTCCTCTGTTGACTTGTCGGGTTCTTGCTCTTGGCCCTTTGCGGGATGGCTACTTCCGCTTCCTTCTCTTCTTCGGCTTCTTCGTCTGTTAGATTCTTGGTGGCGTGTTGCCCACAAAGACCAACTTGGGGCCGTTTTCCTTTGTTTTGGAGAGTCAGATTTGCCCTGACGCCAACTCCTCCAGGAGGGGCAAAGCAATGGCACCAACGAAGACCTTTGCTGTTGCCTGGGATCCAGGACCCTGACCTGACGTACCCTCTTCGAGTGGCTCTGAAAGCCTATTTCATCCCCCCTGCGTCAGTCGTGTGTGCGTGTGTGTTTCTTGTTGGAGTTTGGCAACGTTTTCGCATTTATATCTGTTTGCTTTCCGATGGGCCTGACACATACGCAAACTGCCGTCATGCCTCTCTCCATGTGCTGTGCATCTGTCGCTTCAAAGCTCAATCCGGTATTTGGTCAAGAACACCACGCCAGGGACTGAACAAAAGTGCATGGCTTGAAGCAACCATAAAAATTCGGAAAATGATAGTTCTGTGCATTTCTGCGTTTCAGTATCGATATCTGAGTTGCTTGTACTCTACCTGAGCATAGGCTGCATTAAATGACGTCAGGCGTAGTGACAAATCCACACAATATGCTTGCAAATATACATCATCTGCATGCATGCATGTACGTTTGCATACACGCACATAAAGTGCACACATATCTATATTTGTGTCTATGCATCCACCAAAGTGATGAACAAATACAAACACGCGCAGACTTTCATGTACATGCGTAAATGTGCACACAGGGTCAACATCGTTATTGGCAGGCGAAGCACTGTTTGAGTCAGCGTCAAAATTACTTGTCTGGGGTGTATTCATTCCGACGGCGGTATCTCCCGTATCTTTTGTAAGGTGCTTTCTCGGGTTGGGGCCTTGATTTTTTGTTGATGTCCCAGATCATTTTCCGAGAAAGAAAAAAAGGAAAACATGTGCATGAAATGCTCCTTCACAAAAGCAAATGACGGTAGACTCATTTGCGTACAATGATCTGACAACTTGTAATGATGGAAGCGACTCCAAACAGGCCAAGCATATGTGAGCTCCCGTGAAAAGCACCCACGTTAGATGGGATCTCCAAGTGTGCGCAGATGAAATTTGGGAGGGACCCGGGACCTTTTAAGTCAGATCGTGCGCCTTGCAAATTCAAGTACGAATCCACTAATCAATTCTTGTGTGGTAAAACCGGAAACCCCGAGACATCATGCGACCGTTCCAGCGAGGTCCAAGCAGCGAAGCAATACGTCGCAAACACCACCAGCAACGAGTTCCTTGAGCTCCAACAGGGTGTGCAAACAGAACAAGCCGCATGGGGATCATTTTTTGTGAAATGTCTGGGCGTCTGGTGTCTTGGTTGCTGTAGAGCTTGACTTTTTTGGCCGACCGCCGCCCGAAACCAAAGCCTCCGGGGTGGGAGTTCCAGGACAGGCCTCGAGAGAAACGGACTCGAGAAAGGCCCCCTGGACTGCGAGAGACCGCGATTTTTCAAGGTGCAGTAGACACCAATGTCCAATCTGAGAAACCTCACAGTCTACTGTTGGACCCGTGTTGCCAGTCGCAAGTTGGAAGAGCTTGGTCGTGAATGATCCACTCGCGGAGATCCAAGTCTGCGTTGTTGCGGACATAGTATCATTCTTGGTCACGTTCTCTCTGATGCATCCTAAAATTGGGCACCCCCCCAAAAAAATGGCAGAGAGTCCTTTCAGCCTCGCTTCAAGAACCTATCAAAAAGGCTTAAAGCAACCCCAATGCACCATAACGAGCCAGTGGCTGAGCAGTGACTCATATTGGTTCCGAGAAGTCCCTGCTGGTACGTTGAGGCACGGCTCTGTAGGAATTCTTGCTGGCTAATATCACCAATGGCACATGAAAGGAAACCGGACATCATGTCGGAGGGTCCAGTTAGAGACAATCCTGGCTGCTGGGTTGGTCTTTGACTCCCCACGAAAATTGACTCTCTTGTTGCTAGTGAATTTATGCAGCTCCCCTGTATGTTGGTGTAAAGTTTAGGGCTCCCCCTTCTCGTCCCTCCCATAGATTGCAAGATATGTTCACCAAACTTCATTTCTCCCTGTGTCAAAATAGGCATTGGGACCTCCAAACTGGATCTCTGCTGTCCTTCTCATTTTCTGGGTGAGTCTTCTAAGCACCGGGTCCGGGCTTGGTGCTTTTAATTGGGAAACTCGAGTCGAACCGAACGCTGAGCTTCCCGCGCCGTAGCCGGGGTATTCCACGGCAAGCACATGGACCTATCCGAGTGGTTTCTGGTGGCACACTTGTCGCTTCGCTTCTTGGGGTGAGGCACGGTCGAAGTTACTTACTTGCGGCCGTTGCGCTAAGTTTGAGAGTCCCCAATCGTTTTCCAGCGTTTCCATCCTTCTCCGTGAGTATTCTTTTTGAGAGTGCCCTATAGTTTGCCGTGGTTTTGTACGTTTTCACCATATCAATGAAACACAATTGTACTTCATGTAAATGTCAAATGGCTGTGGCTCAAAAAACTGGTACCAAAATGGAACCCTGGTAAGTAGAAACGTGGACCAAAACCTGCGTAACCCCCCCTGCTTAATTTTGAGCCACGGCCAAATAGTCGCTGGAAGCCCTGGACTTCGGTTTTCGGATTCCCTCAAAGAGTACCCTCGAGAAAGGACCAGCTCTCGCCTTTCAGGGCAGCTCCTATGGGTTTTGTTTTTCAAAAAAAAGCAAAGGGAAGACCCTTGCAATCATTGGTCATTGTCATAGGAACCCCCCACATCCCCATTTGGGCTCCAAAAGTTGTGTTCCGCTGGCTCCGTTTACAGACTTCGACCCTGGTTTCTGAGAAAACCGTGGCCGTCGGGTGTGTCTTCGAGGGTTCCTCCTTTGGGACTTGGTTTGAGAAACCTCTTTGGACCCTTTCGGTGGGTTCCCAAAAGAGGCGGCATCCGTTGGCAAAGCGTGGGTTGCCCTTATCACCAAGTCCTTTCCAGGCAAAGGATACAGGAAAGATGGTCCATGTCCTCTTGAAATTCCTGCTGGTTTCAATGAAGCCAGTAGACTTCCAAACTTTCTCAGTTGTTCCAAGATCTCTTGGGTCGCTTGTGCGCGAAAGAAAGCCCAGACCCGGGTTCCAACAAACGGGCTCTGATCGCTGGCATTTTGCCCATCTGTTCGAGCCCAACGGGCCCAAATTCCGCGATCCACACTGGATCCCCAGCCGCCGGGGATCAAGCCATCCCCCAAGGCATCAAAGTGTGTCTCGGTTTGCCACTCCATTTTCCTCGTGCAGGGAGTGCCCCAAGAAGCGACACGCGCTTTCAAACACCGGGAAAAATGTCTCGAAGCCTCAGATCCCAAGACGACGCCAGCTCGCGTTGCCTGGAACTGGTCATGAACGAAGCGGCAGAACCAGCGGCAAATGCCCAGGTCCTGTCGGAAGCGTCTGGGGTCTCAATGGCGCTACCGGTTGCGCCCCTAGGTTGAGTGGCAAGACACACCTAGAAACCAAACGAGAACCTCAATTTGCTCGAGTTTGCTGGAATGATAGAAACACGTCCAGCAGTGAAATCGCTTCCCTGTTAAAAATAAACAGGGGAAAGTCAAAAACATCTTAAGCCAGCGGAAGAGAAAGAGCTGCAATTGGACGACTTGCCTTTTCAACTCCTTTCGCCAGGCCTCTGCATTGCTGTGGAAATAGATGATGAGGAACCGCGAGGACCTTCGACGCGTGGCCAAAGCCTTTTCAGCGAAAGCCGCAACTCCGAAAGCCATTCGGAGGCTCGAGGGGTTCCGCTCAGCGGAATTCCCGGATTCTTGGGGTCTGCCGCAGGTTCGCCAGAATCCAAGGGTATGCGCGCTCGCCTCAATTTTCTCTTCAGCTTGCAAGGGTGCAGAGGTGATTTAACACCTCCAGAAAAACCACAGGAATCGACAAGTTGGACCGGCGTCCGTTGTTTGCACTCGGTTGGCCGTCCACAAATATGTGTTGGTCCGTCCATGATCCTGGCCAGAAGCAAAAGCCGCGCGCCGTTTGCGGCTTTCGTGTCGTGTTTTTTGGCTCCACGGGTTTGTCCTTTCGGGCCCCTACTGGACCCTGGGCGAAGGAAAGCATCTGGAGCCCACTCAACGAAAATCCTGGCCGACTTGGCCCTACTCTTCGCCTCTCTTTCATTTGTTTGCCATTCGGCAGGTGATGGGTGTGTCTTCTGGGAAGATCTCCCCAAACCCTTGGGTTTTTCTGTTGTCTCCTTGTCTGATTCGGGAAAGGAGAGTAAAACGCACCCAGCAAGACACACTCCACCATTCAGGACTTGAAAGACTTGCAGGCCCCGGTTGAGCTAAAAATGAAACCCCTTCAGGAATCGCCTTGACAAAAATCATTCACGGGTCCGGTGCTATCCGAACCCAGTCGAGGCGGAATTCGCGAACTACAGAGACATGCAGTCTTCTTGCTCATAGCTTTGCTTTCTCTTTTCGTTGACGCTGTCTACAAGCACTTTCGGCGAGGATTCCACTCCCAACAAGAAGCTATCCAGCTTCCTCACGTGCTTCTCGTGTAGGCGCCGGTCCGGTTGCAGCAGCACATCCTTGGGGTGCCTCTTCGGCACGCTGGTCATCTCCCAGGACGAGCTACCCTTCTCCTCCGCCTTCTCCGGGATCTTCTCCTCGATCTTCTCAATCCTAGGCTGGAATTAGGACCCCAGCCCAAAGAAAAACAAAACAAAAAAAACAACTCTTTTGCCTGGTGACTTGGAAAAGAAAGGAAGAACCCAAAAATTGGAAGAAGAAGAAGAAGAAGAAGAAAGACGAGAGAAGCAGGGAGCGAATTCCGGGGAAGACTCTTCGCCCTCAGGCCCTTGGCCTTTTTCTGGTGCGCTATCTCCAGGCCCATGCGGTAGTCGAAATTGTGCCCTTGCTCCTCTTCGATCACCTGAAAGAGCTCAGACTTGGCCATAGCGGGGGTAGTTCCTAGCCCCATGAAAATTGTCACAAAGGGAAACCCGAAAGAGGCTCTTGAGATGGCGGTGGGTCAAAAAAATCAGTACCCAAAATGGGTTGCCCTGGTAAATGGAAACATGGACTAAAACCTGTGGTCCCCTGGTGGTCTTATTTTGACCTGGTTTTGACCCACAAAGTTGAAAAAAATGCAAAGAAACAAAACACCCCGCGAACAGTTGTTGCAAGCTCTGTTGTTGCAAACTTGGTTCTTCAGAGGTCCCGCATTGGCTTGGGAAGAGAGGTCCCAAACTCGACCTTCTTTTGGATGGTGAGGGAAAGCAGGAAACCAGGATCATTACATGACGTTCAGTTGTTTATCCTGGTCATACGGTTTCGTCCAACTGGTGGGCTTTGTCTATCCCAAATATGGGGAGTCATTTTTGGAAGGTACCTCTTTCTGTGAAGGAAAGCCAGCAGACAACCCACGATTCGTGTACCCTTTTGCAACAGGCTCTGTGCTTGGTTGTTTCTGCGCGCGTACGTTTATTTGTGTGCTGACATATGTTTTGTGTGTCTGCCTTTGCGTTTTTCCGGGTGCTTGCGTTTTCGTCCCCCCCAGAAAAAAAAAATCGGGGACTCAGCCCGCGGGAGCCCAGCGAAAGCATTCCGCGACTCGCCTCTAACGAACTGGAGCATCCCATTGCTCACCGCGCATCAAAACGCCGAGCCACAGCGAGCTGCGGGAACGCGGGGGAAATTTCGAAATCCTTTTGGATGCCCGAAGTCAGTTTCTTGGGCAAAGAAAGGCCAAAGCCTTATCAACTTGGGTATGGGTCAAAACTAAGCCTGCAGGTTTTGGTCCATGTTTCCACTTACCAGGCTTCCATTGTGGGTACCTATTTTGACCCACACCCACTTCACTCGGGACCCGTTTTTTCTTTTTCTCTTTTTTTAATATATATTTGTGGAGATCAGTTTTAGGCGAAAATTCATGACCAACCACTTGTGAGGCGGTTCCCCTAAACAAAACAATGACTCATGGCCAAACGAGACTCTCGTCCAGATTTGCTGGTCGAGCTTTGTAGATCGCACGTGGCAGCTAAGGCAAGGGCTCGTAGATGTTCAGCAAGCACGGCACCATCTCGGAATGGTGGGTTTGGTGGGGAATCTTGTCCACCAGCCGCTTCGGAGGTGGTCCCTATTTGAATATAACATGGGCATATGGCTGTGCGTATGTTTGGGAGGATGCCGACCAGGCACAGTTTTGGCATTCGTTTTATGTCTGTCGCAACGTCTTGGGGTTCCTTGGGCAGAGCCATGACCATTTTTCTGGATGCATGTGAATCCCGTGCAGAGTAGCAAAACGCCCCTGGCGTACTGTTTAGCAGGGATGTACCACGAAGAAACTTGATAAGACAGGAAAAGCAAAGCAAATCATTATTGCTTTGGCAGCCCGGAATGCAGTCCATGTCAACCAAACTCGATGGTTCCCTCGGGAACCGTGGAGGACAAACGAGATGAGTCTGGAATAAACAGGGTTCGGAACCTCCCAAAAAAAAAATGAAGCAGTGTTTTCCTTCTGGTCCAAAGCAAAATTCACTCAGCTTCTCGGCCCTCCATACAATGCATCACGGACAGCCATGAGCCAGAAATCCAGCCCTTGTCTTTCAAAAAGAGCAGGCTTGATTTACAGCTCCCCCCGAACAAAAAAGTGGGAATTGACCTTCCACAATGCTCGGCTTCCGCTTTGCTCCTTTCCCAGTGTTCCCACTTGGCTGATTGACTTCTGCCAACCACTTCGACCCAAGCTGGGTGAGTCAGCGCCAGTTACCGAAAGACAAAGGTGCGAAGTTGGACTGGCCCCCTTTGGGGTAAACCCATGAAGGCCAAGAAGACCACCCCAAGAAACCCCCATGACACATCAAGTATGATCCCTTCCTTATCCTCCCCAGTCAACAATACTTGTCCGTGGCTGAAATGGGCGTTTACGGATGTCCCATTGAAACAGCTTCTAAGGAAGCCGAATGTTGTCCTCCAATGACTTCACCCCCTACTAGTGATTAATGAGGGATCCGAATAAAAGAATTGCATGCAATGTTGTGTATGGCCAAAATGTGTGTGTGTGTGTGTGTGTGTTGTGTTTGTGCTTGTGGCTTGTGGCTTGTGCTTGTGTCTGTGTCTGTGTCTGTCTGTTTCTGTTTGTGTTTCTGTGCATGTGTGCATGTGTTTCTGCTTGTGTGTGTGTGGGTAATTTTGTTGTCTCTGTGCTTTTGTTTCTGTTGGTGTTTCTGTTTGTGTTTCTATTTTTGTGTGTGTGTGTGTGGATGGGTGGGGTTGGGTTGGGTTGGGTGGGGTGGTCGGGGTGGGGTGGTTGGGGTGGGAGTGGTGGGGGTGGGGGTGGGGGTTGGGGGGGTTGGGGTGGGGGTGGGGGTGGGCGTTGGGGTTGGGGTGGGGGTCGGGGTGGGGGGGTTTGGCGTGGTGGGGGTGGGGTGGGTCTGGGGCTGGGGCTGGGACTGGGGCGGGCAGGTGGGTGGTGTGGTGGGTGTTTTGGAGTTGGTACCCTTTGAAAGTTGGTTCCAAGGGGAATCAGAAGGGTACCGTCTCGAGTTAGGCTTCCACGGAAACCAAAAGGAAAACCATCCAGTGTTAGGGCTTGCCCTATTTTGACCCATACCCATGTACCATGCCCGTGCCTGTGATCCTGGAGCAGGCTGCGAGGCCGCATCTGACAAAAGCGCATGCGGCTCGTGGAAACAAAAAACTCCGGGCGACAGCCGGGCGCTGTGACCACTGGACGTCAGGATGCGGGAAATGAGGAAACACTCAGCGTTGATGATCTCTGTGACTTTTCGCTTTATTCTTTCGACATAGAAGTTTGACTGGGGGTGCTAAGAGGCAATGGTTCAGGCACCTTTTAAGTGGGTGTAGATTTTTTCTTCTCCAACAACTCCTCGGGATCCAACAGCGGCCATGCCAAAACGCCCGCTCGCGCGCCTGGCAATCTGCGGGGGATCCAGATCAACTCACCTCGATTCGGAGCCGGCGGTTTTCCAGTTGAACTCCTTTTGACGGATTCAAGAACGAAAAGTGGCGGATGGTTTGCTTCTTTTCGTCTTGGAGCATCCGCCTAAGGCCCAAAGCAGGGATACACAGAAGGATCACCGGGCACTGGTAAACGTGGCGTTGTGTATGTCCTAAGCGTATGCTTTCAACCTGAAAAAGGCTTTGCCCGGTTTTTGGGTGAGAATTTCATGTTGGACCAGGGGTAGGGATCCACTTCGCAATCTGCAGTGGCTCGCGCAGCTTCGTGTCAGACTGTCACTCGGCGTCCATGCCTGGGAAGCTCTGGGCATTGTAAGACCTGAGTCGACGTCCAAGCGGGTGCTTGCTGAACCTCGAAATTGGTTGCCGTGAAAAAAAGGAAACGGAAACCTGAGCAGTCTTTTTCGTGTCCCTCTTGACACTACCCAAAAAACGTAGAAAACAAAAGCACGTTTGTTCTTTGTCTGTTTGGAGGGCCAACGTGAAACAACCCTCAGGCCATTCTGGGGCCCCAGCGCTCGTGGCACAGGGAAGAGGAAAGCGTCGACCAGCCTAGGTGTGGGTACTTCTCAAAGTTGGGGTAGTTTGCAAAATTTAAATATGTCCGTTGTTAGCTATGGATTTTACACCTCAGACTCAGACATGAATCCCCTATGAATGGTGTCCGCAGGGTGCCTTCTTCAAAAAAGATACGGTTCAACATGCTACCCCGGTCACTAGTCTGAGCTTCCCGACTTTCCCGGCACTGGTGCAGGTGATGGCATAAGTGACACATAGATGCGAGTTCAATCAGAGCGGCTCCCTGAATTCGTGAGTCTGGCGTGTCGGGTGTGCTGCAAATGGCCGGAAACGATGTTTGAGTGTTTCACCGGGCAAACCAATGCGAACTGCGAGTAAAGATTGCTCAATGCTGAGGGCTGTCAAAGCAGGTTGGCCTGCGCTGAAGGTTGGCCTGCGCTCCTGATTTACATTCTACCATCCAAACGGTGGTTCTTCGAGCTTTTGGGAGACCCCTGTGTATCGCCGCTTGTCTTGGCAATGCTTGACTCTTTGTGTCCTGCTCCAAGTTTGACACCTGCAAAGTGCGAACTTGCTCGCCTGCGCGTATTCCCGGGCACGTGCCCGAGTGGCAGAAGAGAATGCGTGAAAGGGGCATTCACAGGCGGGAAAGACGTGATTGGGCAAATGCGTCACCAATTGGGATGGATGAAACCCAATGAATACTGGTCGTAAACCCTACCAAACGTCACCGTTAGTTTGCGGGTTCAGACACAAATGCAGACATCCATGTGGAACCGGGTCCGAGAGAAGACACGCATTCCAGCTTGGGCAGCGCCTTTCCTGCAAATGCCCGGCGCTGGTTTTGGGACCGCTACAAACAAAAACATCCAGGCCATATACTAAAATATTAATTGCTTTTTTGAGAACCCAAGTCCCAATTAATAGGAAGACTTGGCATTTGCAACCACATGAACATGGGAGAAAAACACTTTCTGTGATGCCGAAATGGCGTTCCCAATGATTTTCATCCTTATCACTTGCTTGTCACTTCCTAACAACGGGTACCTGCAAGCAGGACCATGTTGGAGTCCGAATACAAGCGAGGTCTGCTGGACCCTGCGCATACGCCGACAATCACAATTTGATCGAGGGTTGGTAGAAACAACCACTGCAGCGCCGGCACAATACAACACTTCCAAACTCAAAAAAAATGTCGGAATGAAGAAAGTCACGGAAACTCGGGCCAACGCTGATACATCCACGCGGAATTCACGAATACCAAAAATAGTTGGGAATGCAAATACTCGGAAACTACAATTGTTGAGTACAATACATATACGGCCACAGGTGCAACAGCAACCTGTGCGCCCCAACAACAAAAGGAAACAATGCTGAAAACCCATCGCACATTAAAAAGAAATGCCAAAAATTGTGTTTTGGGAGGCTGCCAAGCTGCAAACATTTGCTTGGACCAAACAGTTCAGGCTTCGGATCGTCAATGGGCACGCTGCGTGGCCACTTTCACACCCCGAAGTTGCCCTTCGGCAAAAGTTCCGGGAGCAAGCCTTCGGCATGGCCAATGGCTCTGGCTGTATCGATGCCGCCTGTGCTTTTCTAGCCTATGATGAGAACAACTCGGAGGAACTCACCCAAACCAGAAATGGCCCGCGACGCGCGACGACGCACAGGCCCCGTGACCCAAGCTGATTCTGCGCAATGACAACAATCATTGCTTCAGCATGACCTTTGACGCAGAAGAAGACCCAAGATAGACTGCTGAGTCGCATTGCATCCTGGTAAAGTACACAAGATAGCTGTGTTGTTCGATGTCTTTCAATGCGCCCGCCGCATTAGCGCCGGAACTTCCATTTTGTGCCTCATTCGCTGACCCTCCGCGATCCTCCGTTGCCGCTGCATCAACTGTCTGCCTTCGCACGCGGCAAGTTGCTGTCACGCAGCGGAACTGAAGTTGGCCCATGTACTGTCATCAAGAAGCTGTCTGACAGAGGCGCAACCAGTCTCAACATCCCTGTTTGTGTCCTGCGCGCACCAAACAACGACAGCCATGCCATGTTGACCCGAAAGCTAAGCACAAGGACAGCCAGTGAAGCGAGAAGGCAACCGCAATCAAACACCTTCGATTCCAGCCACGAGCCTCATCCTTACACCCGGCGCAAGGCAGGGGTTCACGGAACC